TGAACGGAGAAGGCTGTTCTGGACCCGGGATGGGCCAGGAAGGGGCACGACGCTGAGTGGATGCTCGTGGCCAGGAGGGATGAGGGTGCTGTGACCGCGCCCTGGATTCAGCAGCAGGGCCTGTGGAGTTGAGGGGCTGGTGGGAGGAGGGGTGGGGCGGGCTGGGAGGCCCAAGGCGGTGATAGGGTTCTGGACCCGAAGCCCTTTGCGGCTGCAGCATCGCCTGCAGAGGCTGGGCGTGGGCTGGGTGCCCTCTCCCCGGCAGGCACTTTGGAGACTAAGAGAAACAGCACGGTCCTGGAGCTCATCCTTGAGGAGCCAGGAGTACTTCTTCCCAGATGCAGCTACCATGCATGAGAAGGCTCAGTACAAAGAAAAATAAAAACAGAGCTGGGAAGAGGCCCACACTGTGATCAGGTGGAGAGTTATCGTGGGCCTGGGTAGGGAGTGGGGAGCCCCAGAACCCTCTGGGAAGGGCGCGCTGTCTGAGGAGCATCTGGGGGGGCAGTTAGTGGCCCAGTGTACAGCATTGTGATCCAGTTATACATATATATAGTCTTTTTTTTTCTACTTTTTTATTTTTTCAACATTTTTTATTGAGTTAGTCATTTTACAATGTTGTGTCAAAGTATTCTTTATCATTATAGGTTATTACAAGATATTGAAGAGAGTTCCCTGTGCTATACCGAAGAAACTTGTTTATCTATTTTACATACACTAGTTAATATTTGCAAATCTCGAACTCTTCAATTTATCCCTTCCCATACTTTCCTGTTTGGTAAACATAAGTTTGTTTTCTATGTCTGTGAGTCTGTTTCTGTTTTGTAAATAAGTTCATTTGTGTCTTTCTTTTTAGGTTCCACATAGAAGTGATATAGGCATTTTTCTTTCTCTGTCTGGCTTACTTAGAATGAGGATCTCCAGGTCCATCCATGGTACTGCAAATGGCATTCTTTTTTATGGCTGAGTAGTATTCATTTGTATATATACACCATATCTTCTTCATCCAGTCATGTGTCAGTGGGCATGTAGGTTGCTGCATTGAGGGTTGTTCTGATTGTGAAGCAGCAGTAAGCACATTAGAGCTGGAACAGATCACGAATTCTGTCCAAGTGGCAGGAACTGCCCAGGGTGGGGCTGATTCCGCTGCTGGGCCATCCCATGGGGGTGCTGTTTCAATCTGCCTCTTGCTGCTGCCACATGAGGTGGTGGCAAGAGAATTCTGACAATCGGTAGACAGATGTCACCCAGGAAGACAAAGGCAGAGGCAGGGTGACAGTGCAGATTTCTGGTCCCTGGTAAGGGCTCACAGAATCTAAGGAGCAGAACGCTTATTGGCTGTGGGACCTGGCCTGGCCTTGGTATGAAGGTGGGACAGGATACGATGCAGTGCTTTCCAAGGTAGGGACCCACATTTCTCCCCCAGCTTCCAGCCCTGGAAGCTAACCTCTATTCCTCAGTTTTCTCTGGCTGTAGAATTGAAATAATTGCAGTACAGATCTTCCTCGACTTCCAATGGGGTTGTGAACCCAGTAGACCCATTGTTAAGTTGAAACTATGGTTAAGTCGAAATTGCATTTAAAGTTTCTTCTGTATAGCACAGGGAACTATGTTCAATATCTTGTAATAACCTTTAATGAAAAAAATATGAAAACGAATATATGAATGTATATACATGATTGAGACATTGTGCTGTACACCAGAAACCTACACATTGTAACTGACTGTACTTCACTAAAAAAAATAAATTAAAATTAAAGTTAAAACTAAAAGAATATTAAAATAAAAAAGAAAGAAAGAAAGGAAGTGCATTTGATACCCCTAACCTACCGATCATCACAGTGTAGCCCAGCCTACCTTCAACGTGCTCAGATCACCTCCATTAGCCTACAGTTGGGCAAACCCATGTAACACAAAGCCTATTTTATACTAGTGTGTTGACTATCTCATGGTATGTGCTGAGTACCGTCCTGGAAATGGACAACAGAATGGCTGTCTGGGTCCAGGATGGGGGTCGGTGGGTCCATTCTTCCCCCTGGTGGCCATGGAGCCAAGGGTGAGCTCGGCTGCAGTTGCCACTGCCCAGTATAATGAGAGAGGACTGTCCTGCACATCACCAGCCCGGGCAAAGGCCAAAACTCTAGACTCCAAGTATGGTTTCTACTGAATGTGGATTGCTTTTGCATCAGTGTAAAGTCAAAAAGATCCTAAGTGCAAGTGTTATAATCGAGGACCGTCTATGTTTATGTCTGTGAAGGGTAAATGGATAAATTTGTGAACCGTGCTTGGCGTGTAGTCAGCTTTCAGTAACTCAGTTGCCACTTCACATAACCACAGAAACCAAAGAAAAAATTTTTTTCAGGTTGAGATGCCACATTCCTGGAGTTTTCCAAATCTTTTACCGAATTTCAGTGTCAAGCTCACTACTTACATGTGCTGTCTCTGAATCCTGAAGTACATTTGAGACTTTCTGCTAAGACAGTGTAATGTCAGCGCCAAGAGCAGGAACTGAGAAGAGGCTGCCAAGGATGTTCTCCTGTTTAGACATTAAAGTGGAAAATTCTGGAAGCAAATAGCTCTGATACAAAGGCGGGGCTGAAATCAGCTAGTTTGACACAGGTAATCAAGAAGGCCAGTCTTGGGGGGAGAGTAGAGCTCAGTGGTAGAGCGTATGCCTAGCATGCATGAGGTTCCCTGTTCAGTCCCCAGGATCTCTATTAAAAAAATTATAATAAATAAATAAACCTAATTACCTCCCTTCCAAAAAAACCCAACAAGAATGCCAATCTTCTTCAAAGTCAAGGATAAGTCAAAACAGATTTAGCACAGTTCTCAACCTTGCAAAATCCTTACTTGGTAGGTCTTTAACTCCTGGCCCCTCTGGAGGTCCAGAGGTCCAGCAGAATGCAATAGCATTACTTACACTGTAAACATCCCACCGGGCAAGGGCTGTCCTCATTTTCCTGTGTTGAAAGAATGTTGACCACTGCGGAGCACTCCCCATGGGGAGGACAAGTGTAGAAAGAGGTGGAAAGCAATTCTTTCCCCTCTTTTCAGAATGTGCTGTGTGATCAGGATGCTAATGCGATGGATGCACTGAGGTGGTGTCTGTACCAGGCGGTGGACAGGGACAGTTGGGTGGGGCTTCTGGTTTCTGGTGTGTATTTTCCCATCTGCCAGTTTTGTGCAAATAAGTAGGCCCCTTAATCTCAGTTTTCTTCATCATTTGGACTGGGCCGAGAAGGACTGGCAGGGCTGGAGGGGCTGGGATCGGCAGGGGGGAGGGAGGGGGATGGGCGTTTTCAGACAGCCTGGCGGTGGGAAGGCCCAGGGCCACATCTGCGGTTAAAAAGCGAGAGAGAACCTGCTGATTAGTTCCCCGTGTTGAGGGAAACACACATAATATTGAGAGTGAACAAAAGCTTGAGTTCAGAGGAGCCACTAACAGGAGATAACTCACTCACAGAGCGATTTTTGATCATTTTCAGGGATGAGCAAGGGGAGCCGTATCTCTTGGTGTCTACCCAGAACTGCGTCATCACCTGCTGAGCCCAATGTGTCAGCCGCTTCATATGCAGTCTCTAAAGCTTGCAGATAGCTAGCGAAGCAAGTATTATTCTCACCTTGCAGATGAGAAACTGAGAGTCGAGGGTAAATGAACTGTCCCCGGGTTTCTAGGGTAGTAAGTGGCAGGAGCAGATCTAGGCATATCTGGTTCCATGCTGTGTGTGGAGCGCTGGCCTCCCTCTGAGCGTCACGTGTGGACCAGCAGCTGTCCGTGCTCCTGTTACAGAGCAGGAGAAAAGGAGTGGGGGTCCGGCAAGCGTGCAGGAGCCCTCAGCCCACCATGTGGGCACAGTCGTCCTAGGGTGGGAGATCACCAGCGAAGGTGATGGAAGCTTCCAGTAGTCATTAAACAGTGGGCACACAGGTGGGCCAACCTGCAACAGCCACCCCGTGTTCAGCCTGTTCTGCCCACCTAGAGAGGCCTAACCTGACCACCTCTCCCACCCAGGTCCTTTCCATCACATGTTCCCGGTTTACCTGGCTTTGTTTTCTTCATAGCACTTACCGCTGTCTAAAATTTTATTATTTCTTCATTTTGTTGTTCACTCTTCTTTTTAGGATGTAAGCTCAGGAGATCGCTTTGACTTGGTAACTGATGTTCTGAGCACAGTACCTGGAATGCAGTAGATGCTAAATAAACATTTGGCGAGAAGTTAAATCAGTAAGCATTTTCGTGTATTTTACCCGACTAATATTCATTTAAATACTAAAAGTAACAAATGAAGAGACTCCCCCTCTCCCCGGCTTCTGCCACCCCCAAATTTCCACACTCTAGCTGGGAAGACGGACAGGGACAAACTAGACTGAAAAAGCAATGTCTTAGGCGTAGAAATGAAGAAGCAAGGTCCCTGACATGGAAGCGTTCACGTAGGGCTTAGATCACCACTTGGTAGACGTGATTCCTGCAGCAGCAGCATGGGTACGGGCCTTCCGATGCTGAGATTCTGCGCTCTGGGCGTCAGTGGGGGCGGGGAGACTTAGAGCCTGTGGGGACTTGGTTGACACAAGGACATCATATTCTTTGGAATGACTATGGATGAGATTGAAACCATGGAGCATCATTAGTTAAATCCATTTCACCTGTAACCTGCCTTTGCATCAAGGTTAATTGTTGAGTCAAAAGACTCAAGTGACCTCTGCGCCCCAAGCAGCCTAAACAATCAGATGTTGCCCGGGAGTTGGCGTCAGCTGTGTCTAGTTAAGCGGAACCATTTAAGGCAGGACTGGACCGCTGGCCCTCCCACTGGGCATGCGCGTGTGTTGCTCTTTGACCTTTTGACGTCTGAGGGCCGAAAACTCCACGCTCACCTGGGGCCCCGCGCCCGCCCGCAGAGGCCGGAG